AGCTGTTATGCCTTTTTTTATCATGCGATTGCGTTTTCCATTAAACATATGATAGAAACTATTACAACATTCCTCCAGGGTGGACAGCGGGATATCGACGTACATGAAACTGGCCTAAGAAATTTAATTACTTATCGCCCTTACATATGGACATAATGATATTTCAACAATTATATGAATGCTGATTGCACAATGCAATCTCCACTCGTTTTAAAAGAGCATCCAGCTGGCAAAAAATTTTCCCTTTAGATTTGCAGTTCCTCTTCTGGGAGCCTGGCAGATCCCGGTCGAGTATATTAAAAAAAATGATACACTCGTTTTCATCCCTGTGCTTATGCTAATACATAAAGCATACTTACAATGAAAAACAAAATCCTTTGAAAATCAATATCATAAGATTTATGAAGATAACGAAAACGAAGTAATTCCAGGTCATAGAGAACCTTCCCGAAGCCTGCGCGCAGTTGGTGTGCAGGATGAAGCGCAGGAAACCCAAAGTGGTTCTGGAACCCGTCGAAGGATGCACGTGCTCACGCTCCGCCTCAAGAGTTCCGAAGGTCGAATCCGAACCTGAAGGCGGCGATGTAGCGTCTGATGCCTTCTACGACACAGGCGCAAGGGCGGCTAGGAGTTGCTGGTTCAACAGGAGGCGGAGAGTGAACAGCACCGTCGCCATTTTGGAGGACCACTGCGTCGGGGTCGTGTGCGTCTACAACGCGAGCGCCGCGCGAGCGGTGCTGGAGGCGCGCTTTCTCCCTGGATGCGTCTGTGGCGGTGGGTGAGCGCTTTCATGGCTGGGCTCATGTGCAATTATGAGTATCTTTAATTGCATTAATTGCTTTGTCTGCGAGTTAATTTCTTTTTGGTTTATGAAGAAAGCAAACCTCCAACACTACATATTTTCCAATAAGATGTTTAACAACCCACCCAACAGAACTTACGACCGTGCCAGCAACCGAACGCCCCACCAACCTACCTACCGAAACCCCCACCAACCCACCCACACACCCTCACCAACCCACCCACCGAACCCCCAACGACCGCGCGCAGCTTGTGACTACGCCCAATTCTCCGCCGAACACTCGATGCTGCTGCCTCCCAACCCCGAGTGTAACGCCCACAGGAGCGGGGTTTCGGAGGCGGAGAAACTGGAGATCCTGGAGGCCCACAATACCCTAAGGGCGAAGGTCAGGCACTTCCTCATCCCTTTGTCCCTTTTCATGGATAGGAATCTAATTTCTAGCGTTTATTATGCTTGTTTTATTTTTATTTATTTTATTAGATTATGCTTTATTCCTTATTAGACTTTGTGAAACAAAAAAATAGGGAGGAGAATAAAAGAAAGAAGGATAAACTGAACAACAATGGAAACTCGGAATGGCTTGCAGGTGGCCCGCGGGGAGGAGAGCCAAGGAGACTCGGGTCCCCAGCCTTCAGGAGCCGACATCAGGGAGTTGGTGTGGAATGACGAACTCGCGCAGGTGGCTCAGGTGAGGTCTCGTTCTCTCTCTCTCTCTCTCTCTCTCTTTCTCTCTTTCTCTCTCTCTCTCTTTCTCTCTCTCTCTTTCTTTCTCTCTCTCTCCCTCTCTCTCTCTCTCTCTCTCTCTCTCTCTCTCTCTCTCTCTCTCTCTCTCTCTCTCTCTCTCTCTCTCTCTCTCTCTCTCTCTCTCCTCTCTCTAACGATCTTTCTTTCTTCTCTTCATCTCTTTAGTCTCATTGTTTTTTTGTCTTTTCCGGATTTTTTGTCTGTCGGATTTTTTTTTTGTCTTTGATCCGGATTTTTTTGTCTTTTTCCGTTTTTTTTTTTTTTTTTTGTCTGCGTTCGAGTTTTTTTTTTCTCTCTCTCTCTATGCGTGATGGATCTTTTATTTTCATATTTTCCTTTTTGTCGGATTTTTTCCTATTTGCGTGTTTTTTTTTTTTTCTTTTTTTTTTTTCTTTCGGCGCCGGGACTCTTTAGCTTGTTCCAGGTCCTGATGCTTCCCATGCATATGGGTGATCCCCTACATGAATGAAGTACGTTTCGGGGAAAAATGTGAAAAGCTTGTATATATATATTATATATATATATATATATATAATATATAATATATATATAATTATATATATCGTAAATTCTTATCCCTTGCAATATAAAACATCCCTTTCCCCGCTTGCTCACAACGAAATATCCGGCAACACAAATAAATACAGGCCATAGTTTTTTTTAGACGACCTGATTTACAATGAAAGCTACTCAGATCTGACATCAATTCACCTATTTATCTTTTCACTTATCCATCTCTCTCTCCCTTGCTTGCTACTGAACTGACGCGGTTTCTGCTCCCAAGGCGTGGGCGGAGCAGTGCAAGGGCGGCCACGACGGGTACGCCAAGAGGAAGATCTGCAGCCGAGATTACGCCGTCGGCCAGAACGTCTTCAGGAAGTGGGGCCACAACCCCGATTCCGTAAGTGGGAATGGGAATTATGGTGGGTAGTGACTTTTTTATCTATTTTATCTCTTTATTCATTTATTTGTAGGGAGGATATAATATACTGTGTACCGCCACGTTTGTTTATGTTTTTTTTTCGCTATGATTTTTCTTCCTTTCACAACGCTAAGATGTTTTTCGTTGCAGGTATGGACCGAAGCCATCCAGTCGTGGTATAATGAGGTCGCCAACATGCCTCATACCTTCGTGGACCAATTCACCGGTAGCCCCCCCTCTGGGAAGATCATCGGTCACTATACACGGTAAATACAAGAAATTTGTGTGTGTAGGGTAGATTGAACGAAAAGGGAGAGTGAGAGGGGGTGGCAGGTCAGAGAAAATAATTTCGTTTTCGGGTTTCTCTGCTCGTTTTTTTTCTTTTCTTTTTTTATATTGCTTTATCTAGTTCTTTTTCGTTTTCTTTCTTACATTCCCAATCGAGGAACAAAAACTGTACAGAAGATCAAGAAATAAACTGAAAAATAGCAAAGTGAAATAAATAAAAACAAATTCTCAACAAAAAATATAACCCAATCACATAATCAAACAAACAAGTTAGCAAAGCCTGCCAAAATACGTAGAAGATATATCTCTAAAAAAGTAGAAGATATATCTATAAAAAGAGTTCGAACCTCCACCTTAACCACTAACACACACCGCACCCGAACACATTTCAGTTGGTCTGGGGAGCGACGAACGAAATCGGATGCGGGGCCGTAGACTTCTCCAGCATCAAGAGCGGCACCACGTACCCCGAGAGCAAAGTGTACGTGTGCAACTACGGCAGGAACGGCAACAGCATCAACTCTCCCGTCTACACGAGAGGTCCTGCGGCGTCCGAGTGCAGCGGAGGAGAGTCCACTCGGTATCCAGGACTCTGCTTGTAGGAGAGAAATTTGTAATATGTAAAATGAATAGAACATTTCGGATGGAATTGGTTTTAATTCTTTTTTACGAAATTGTCATGGATTGGGTGGTGGTGTGCACACTAGTGGTTGCATATGAAGATTGTTTCTCTGTAAATTTAATTGTATTGTAATAATGACATTGGTTAAGGATAATAATGGTAATGATGATTGTTTATCATAATTATTTGTTATTATTATTCTTATCATCATTATTATTATTACCATTACTATTACAGCTGTCATTATTATTTTTGCTATCATTATTACTATTATTATTTATTTATCAATTATTATTATTCATTATTACATATCAACATTATTATTTTTAATTGTTACTATCATTGTTAATAGTAGCATTGCTATCTTTATCTTTAGTATAATTACTATTATCATTATCATAACATTATTATTATAATTATGATTACTATTGTTATTGCTATCATTATTATTGCCGTTATTTTCATCTATTATTATAGTTTCCATAATACTACTACCATTGCGATTACTGTTACCATTATCATAGAAATAACAGTTTCCATGAATAACATTGCTGTTAATATTTTGGCCAGTAATGAATTAATGACATGAAGGTTCACTCTGATTTTCCCTTGAAGTATGTTCCATAAAATAAGGTGTTAATATTGTCCACAGAATGGCAAATAAATGTTATATATGTGAAAGCCTCCATAATGCACATACACACACACACACACACACACACACACCACACACACACACACACACACACACATACCACACAACGAAATAATCCTTACTTTGTCNTTAGGGCATTAATAAAATAGTAATAATAATAGTTATCGTAAAAAGTTATAGTAAAAAGTAGTATTAGTAACGGTAATTCTAAAAAATATATAAAAATAATTTTGGTATTGACAATTATAATGATAGAAGCGCTAATAGATTTATAGTAAATAACAATATGATTAATAATAATCATTGTTATAATAACAGTAATAAAAACACCAATAGCAATACTGAAGATATCATTACTATCATCATCATTATCATCATGATTATTGTTATTATTATCATCATTATTATTATCATTATGATTACTAATAAAATATTTTTCTATCCCCAATATTACAATAATTTTTCATTATTACTGCTGTTGTTGTTTTCCTTATTCTTACCATCGCTACCATCATCATTATTGTCATCATCATCGTCATCATTATCACCATCTCATTATCATTACCATCATTATCATCACCATTGTTATGAGGAAAAGAAAACGAAACTGATAAAGGGAATGATAAAGCTACATAAGTAAAAAAATAATAATAATAATAAATAAATAAATAAACACACACACTAAAGAGAACTAAAATACAAAGAAAATCGAAAATAAAAACAAAACACACAAAAGAAAACACCCTCACGCCGGAATCCCTCTGGCGGTGATAATTTGAACACAAAAAACAACAACAAACAAACAACAACAACGAGAAGAGCAACAACCGCAATAACGAGGGTGATGAAGCCACCGAAAATAAGAATGATGAGCAAATTATTAATAATGGGCCAGAAGGAGGTGCTAAGTTGCCCCCCCACGGAGAACCCAGGGGGAGGGGGGGAGGCTCCTTCCTCCTCCTCCTCCTCCCTTCTGCTCTTCCTTCTCTTTCCCTCCTCTCCTCTTCTCTTCCTTCGCTCTCCTCCTCTCCTTGATTCACTCTTCCCCACCCTTCCCTCCCTCCCTTCTCCCTCCCCTCTCCCCGTTTATCTCCTCTCTGCCTCTTCCCACTTCCCTTCCTTCATCTTAACATCTTTCCCTCCTACCCTCCCCCTTCCCCTCCCCTCTCCCCTTAAAAACAACCTCCCCCATTCCCTCCCCTCCTTCTCTCCACACCCCACCTTTCCTCCTCCCTCCCCGTCCCTACCCTCCTCTCCACACCCCCACCTTTCCTCCCCCTCCCCATCCCTACTCCTTCTCTCCACACCCCCATCTTCTCTCCTCCCCTGTCCCTCCTCCCCTATCCCTCCCTCCCTACCTCCTTCTCTCCTCCCCTCCCCCCCCCTCCAACCCCCCGCAAGACAGGGTGGACTCCAGCACCCCGATGACGTCACTCTGGAGCGGCCTTAGATCACCGCCACCAACCTTACATTCTCAAATTAACTTTTTTTTTTTTTTTTCTTCTTCTCCTTCGTCGTCGTGTTCACTTCGTCTAGAAACCCGAGAAAAAATAAACAATAACTGCTTGTAATACCTCGCATATTTTGCAATAGACTGTACACGTGTGTGTGTGTGCAGCGGTATTTATAAAAGTGTGTGTGTGTGTGTGTGTGTGGGTATATATATATATATATATATATATATATATAATATATATATATATATATATATATATATATATATATATAGTATATATATATATATATATATATATATATATATATATATATATATATATATACGTATACATATGTACATATACGTATGTATACACACACACACACACACACACACACACACACACACACACACACACACACACACACACACAACACACACACACACACACGCACACACACACACATATACATATATGTACATATACATACATACATACACACACACACACACACATATATATACATATAGATTACAATACAAACACACTTTCTCTCTCTGTAGTTTTCTAATCATACCTAAAATCGTATGAAATAAATCCCATAAAATCATAAAATCGAATCACAAGACAAAAAAAAAATAAAATAAATAAAAAAAAAATGAACGAGGAAGCGGCGAGGAAATAGACGAAGAAAAAAAGAAAAATACGAAGAGGAAAGAAACCACGTTCGGATCTGGGTTAATACCAGAACGTGACATAAAGAAGGAACAGCGATAATAAGATGAATTAATGATAAGAGAGATACAAAACAATTAAAGAAGACGAAAAACAACAAAGCAGACGAATCGGAAATGGTAAAGAAGAATAATCAGATAGAATAAAAAAAAAACTAAATAAACAAGGATTCACTAAAAAAATAATCACGACAAAAAATTGAAAAATAAACCCCAAACATAAGCAAAAAGACTTTAAACCCACAGACATCGGGAATAGTAAAGAAGAATCAGAGAGAATGAATAAAAAATCAGATTCATAAAAAAATAATCATAAAGAAATATATATATATATATATATATATATATATATATATATATATATATATATATATATATATATATATATATATATAATATACAATAATAAAAAAATCTGAATCGGAATAATAAAATAAACAAGAATTCACCAAAAAAATTACCACGATAAAGAAATAATAATAAAAAAAAAAAAAACAGCAAAACATAAACAAAAAGACTTAAACCTCACACATCTTTCTCACGCGCCTTAAAACCCCGCAAACACCTGGTGACTTTGCACAGGTGACTCTCCTCTGACCCGCGAGAGACTCTGACAATACTGCGTGGCCAAATAACCCCTTTGCCTCGCCATAGAGGTCAGAGGTCACGGACGCGCTATCCCCCTGACCTTGCTGCCTCTGCATTTGCATTTATTTATTTTATTATATTATTTATTTTATTATTTTTTTTTTTTTGAGGGGTCGTTTATGAATTTCGTATTTTGAAGTGATATTTATTTTTTTTATTTCTATTTTTTTAATTATTGGTTTTTAAGTTAATTTGTATTTTCACATTTGTTTTTATTTCTCGTTTTTCTTTTTTTCGTAATTTCTCTATATTATCCCTATTATCTCTCCTCTCTCCCTTGCCTTTCTACTTTCCTTTCACTTTCCATTCATATTTTACTGCCTCTTATCCACTCTCCCCATCCCTCTTACTCTTTCACCTATCACTTATCCTTTCTATCTATCTATCTTTCTATCTATCCATCTATCCCTCCCTTGGACTTCAAATTCCCCCCCTTAACCTCATCCTTCCTCCCATTATCTATTCTATCCTTTCTATCCATATCACCATCTATCCTCCCCCTCTCCCTCCCCCCCCCCCAGACGATCAGCGGAGACTCGTCCATTTCGAAACGCTGAACAAAATTGCAATAAATGTCTTGAGAAAGTTGTTCAGACCATAAAATTCTTGGTCTCCTTTCTGCTTCCAAGTGACGTCTGTTCACTTATTTTTTCTCCTTTGAAGTTCGTTTAAAGTGAAATGAAAACGAGAACAAGATGGAAATTAATAATAAAAAAAAGTAAATGATGAGAATGAATATAAAAGATTGTAAATGATATTGATTAATCAGCAATCTAGCAGGAACATGGAGAACAAGATGGAAATGAATAAAAAAGGTAAATGATGAAAGTGAATATAAAAGATGGTAAATGATATTGATTAATCAGCAATCTAGCAGGAACATGATCTATATCAACAACTCTTCTCTTACATTTTTCCTCCGAGTTCATAAAAAAAAACATCAAATATAACAGATAAAAGATAAAAAAAAAACCGTCAATACAAATAAAAATTAAAAATACAAATCCATAATTCACCAGACTTGACAAGGACAAGACATAAACCAAAAAGCTCTCGAAAGACGATACCATAATTGGACACATAAATCTTTTCAATCAAGAAGATATTCGGGTTTTTTTTCAGAGCGTTTGCTACTTTTGGATACTCTATCTGGGTGAGCGTGTGTGCTGTATGTTTTGTAGTCTATAAATCCCTGGTAGAAATTTCTTGGATCTTTGAAAATATCCATTCTTGAATAAAATGAATTGTAATGAAATATGAGAATGTTTAAAATTCTTCTGCCATGAACGAGTAAAATAAAAAGTGTTGTATTCCATTTAAGAATATATTCTTTTTCTTCTTTTTTTTCTTTTTTTTGGTTCGTTTTACATATAATGGGAATTACACGTTGGAATTCGTGTTCCCCATGTCACAATCCACGCAGAAATTCTTGGGACATGCGATACCCAATTTCACATCAAGACTCCCAATCCAACTCCCTTTTTCCCTTTCAAATCCACCTCCCTGACAAGCGCCAGGGCCAACTCCCTCCAAGCCATCTCAGGCCCCTCAAGCCGCTCCAGCTGGGCGTGGCTTCCGCACATACCCGGCCACGCGGAGCCTCGGCGCAAACCTGTCGTCCAAGTAACCGGGTCTTCCCTTGCAGAGCGTT